AACAACTTGAAGAAAAGGTTACAAGATTCAAAGGTAATTGGCCTGAGGTATTACCTGGAGTATTATGGGCTTATCGTACAACGACAAAAACAAGCACGGGAGAAACACCATTTTCAATGGTTTATGGTGCGGAGGCCTTAATCCCGGTTGAAATAGGTGAACCGAGCACACGATATGCTCAAGCAACGGAAGAATCAAATGATGAAGAAATGCGGGTGAACCTTGATTTGCTCGAAGGAAGAAGAGAAGCTGCATTAATAAGGATGGCAGCACAAAAGCAAGTAGTTGAACGGTATTACAACAGGAAAGCACGCCTCAAATTTTTTTAAAATTGGGGACTTCGTGCTTAAAAAGGTGTTCCAATCTACAAAGGCTGCTAATTCAGGAAAGCTAAGTCCCACATGGGAAGGACCCTTCAGAGTTCGTGATATTGCGGGAAAAGGAGCATATGAGTTGGAGACAATGGACGGGAAAATTCTACCCTCACATTGGAATGCTGTCCACCTAAAGAGATACTACTTTTGAGAAAGTACCCACGGTCAGGTATCACCATGTTAATATTTGTTTTTGAATTGTTAAAATTTTACTAACGATTTTAGATGATAGGCAAAACGCTAACCCGTACTAAATGATGAGTCACGACCTGTAAGGCAAAATGGAATAAACTAAAATTCCTGGCCCAAGGTTACAATTTTTCTGATAGAAATTTAAACGGGTTAAGCAGTCTTCATCTATAATCGTACCTCCGAGTCCCGTATGTATTTCCTTTTCAGGAAAAGGACCAAATGAGAGAAACTATCAAGTGCTCGAGGCTTCATACTTCACCGCTCAAACACTTGGGGGACTGCATATTGTACCTTTCCCATCAAAACAAATGAAGATACAAAACATTCATCATAGTATTCTTTCCCATAAGAACAACAGAGTCACCTCTCAAACTCATGAGAACAACGGAGTCACCTCTCAAACCCTTCCTAATGCATGAAGATAGGGTCATGACTATGTACTGAAACGGGTTATAAGAAAAAACCTTGTTTGAATTATATTTATTTTGTAAAAATCTGTTACAAGAAAAACAGTTACGAGAAAGTTATAGATGTATTTTAATACATGTAATATTCAAAAGCTTGCCAAAGTTCGTGAATAAAAACTTGTCAAAGTGATTCCAAACAAAACATGTGTGTTCCTATTTCTTTCAACGTATTATAACACCATTATGAAGTTGAGACGTCTTCTTCATTAAGTGTCGATATGTATAAAAGGGCCCTCTTTTATAAGCCTCATGTTAATAAGTCATGAGAAGAATCATAAAGCATTTTCAAAGGATAAAAATGCTAAACTATTCTATAAGTCCTAAATAGATAAGAAAAAGGCAAGAATAGAACATATTGAAGTACTAACAAATTTCTTGATATAATTAAAAAGACTAAGTAGAAACTTAGTCAACAAAAGTTTATACAAGTTCCCCATTATGATAACTGGGGACCTTTTTCAAAAAAATCCCTTAAAAACATCAAGGGATAAACCACCAATCAACAAAACAAAAACAAAGTCTGGAAACATAAATTGGTCACTGAGGGGCTGGAATGCCAGAAGTTGTTATATTAGCTTCACTTTCATGAACAGCTATAGGTACGGTGGTAACTTCTGAAGAAGCAGCAACAGGAGCGGTTCCAGCTGGGATTGAAGTGCTAAGTTCATCGAGGGGAGCTAGAGTCACGGAAGTTTCGGCTTCCACAAACTGAGTCATAGAAGTTTCACCCTCGGGAGCTGGAATTGCAGCATTTTCAACTTCAATTGCCGAAACAACGGCTTCTTCATTTAAAGGTTCTTCAGCCACGGGAGCTTCATTTGCCGGAGAAGGAAAGTCAAGTGGTTGTTGGGTCATCTCAATGGTTTTCAAAACTTTGGCCAATTCCGACTTTAAATCAAGTTTTCTTGACTGGCCTCAGTTAAAGCATCACGACGAGAGTTCAGAAAAGCCCAACTCACCTCTATGTTAAAATTCTCCTCAAGAAGTTCATACTCTTTTTCCCACATAGCAAGATCATTCTTTAACACTTGATTTTCAGCTAAAGAGGAATCAAGGGAAGCTTCAAGGGAGGCATGAGAACTCTCTAAGGCACGTACCTTATCAGAAGAGATATTTAAATCAGCTTGAACTTGAGTCAACTTTTGCACTAACTCCTCTGCATACTCTTCTTTCTTGGCCAAAAGTGCCTTAAGTTCTCTGATTTCTTCACTTGACTTTGATAATTGTTCTGAAAATGAACATTCAAAGCGCTCCTTATCCTTCTCAGCTTTACTAGAAGAAGCCTTGGCTCCCGCTAATTCAGAAGTCAGAGTCCGCCTTTGCTGCTCCAGGTTACGGTTGCTTTCTTGCAATTCTTTTATCGTTTCTTGAGCATTTTTAAACTAATTCTTCCAATTAGTTGCTTCCAGTTGGGCTTCCTTAGCTACCCTCTCAGCCTCGAGAACAGTCTTATCAGACTCACGGGCCTTCTTTTCTAAAAGGGAAATTCTTCCCATCAATTCCGTGCCAATAAGGTTAGCCTACTAAGACAACTCATGAAAATAAGAATCTAGAGATAAAGAAAAAACTTATCAGTAAGTAAAGGAAGAATACCTTTAACGTAGAATGAACTATGTCATTCATCAAAGTTAAGCAACTATGACTGTTCATCTTCTTCTTCTCAATGTCTCCAATTAAAGGCTCGAGCCAGACATCTACTCCACCAGACTTCCTTAAAAGACTGTTATTAGCAGGAACCTCAAGTGTGATACTCCTCATAGCCAAACTTCTGCTACTGGAACCCTTCTCTGCATGCTGAACAGAGGAAGGGGGAGCTATAAAAGGAGGAATGGTAGAAGAGGTGAAAATAACAGGAGTCGAAGGAGTCGAAACAGGTAAGGGAGCAGAAATTGGCAAAGGAGTAGGAACAGATAAAATAGGCAAGGAAGCACTTGAAACCAAAGGAGGAATAGAAGGAATGGGAATGGAGGAGGAAAGAGGAACTTCATCTAAAACCGGACCTAGTTCACCACTTTCGAAACCGTCAACGAAGAGACGGTGAGTGGATTCAATGGTGTCCCTTGGAATGGTTTCATCATCAGAAACAACAGTAACAAGTTCGGTAAGAGAGGAGGCACAGGCAGAAGAAATTTCAGCTTTATCTTCAGAAATGATGCGTCTCCTGGCTCTAGGCCTAGCCATCAAAGAGGTGTCTTCATCTTCATCATCCTCAGAATCCTCTTCAATAATTTTCCTCTTTGACAGCGTAGCTTGTGTTCTCTCCAAAGAAAGGGGAGTACCAGAAGAGGCTCGAAGGGCAATAGCTACTTCAGATGTCATTCCTCGAATAGCAAATCCTGACAAAAAGAAGAATAAAAAGTTAAAAGAGGGGAAAGAATTTAACATACGAGAAATAATAAGGGATGCATACCGTGAGTTTTCACTTTCCAACCATATTTGTTGGAAATAGATTTCCAGGTTCGTGCCTCCATAGGCATGGCTTTCAAAATAGCATCTACCCAACCAAGGAAATTAGGAACGGGCTCTACATCTCCCATGGTTGCTACAAAAATGCAAAAAAGAATAAAATTAGAAAAGGAGTTGAAATAAAAAAAAATAGATACGGTAAGGAAGAAACACTTACGTGCAAGGTTCCATTTCTCAGGAAAAGGAATATTTGATTCACCCACCAAACCAACTGTGGGTACCGCAACGTAACGGGTGTACCAGCCTCGATCTTTATCATCTTCAGGGCTTACCAAAACCCTTTTACTTCTTGCAGTTAGGGTAAAAACACCATTGCGGAACAGCTTGGGATGGTAAAGATGAATTAGATGGGAGAAGGTAAAGTCAACACCAGCCTTGTCCAATACATACCTTAAACAAGCCACTGCTCTCCATGCGAGGGGGCCAATTTGAGCCAAACAAATCTTGAAAAAACACAGAAATCGAGTATGACTGGGTCGATAGCAGGAATAAATCCCAAAGTAAAGGGGTAAGTATAAACAAAGGAAAAACCAATCCTATAAGAAGAAATTCTCTGGTTTGGGTTAGGAATAACTATATGAAGGTCATCTCTCCAACGACAATCTTTTCGAACAGTGAAAATCAAGGGTTCAGTAATTAAAGAAGGATAGGTGTCAGCATCAATTACATGGTCACGAAGGGATTCTTTATCATTCTCGAAAGATAAGTCGGTTGGCACTATTTCTTCAACCAAAGGTTCTTGAATAGGCTCAAAAGATTCTTTGCCTTTAGAAGAGGATCTCTTAGTGAAAGAATCTCTAGAAATAGTGCCAGAAAAAGGAGTGATGGAATCAGAGGTACCACCACGAATGGACCCTAGGCCACGAAGCCTACCTCCTCTACCTCTTCTGTGTCTTACAGGGGCATTGGGGAAACTGTCAAGAATTGGGACTCTCCTAGGGTTAGGATTCGAAGATAACATGGTAAAAAGATGTGAACTGAGGAAGAAGTGAATAGGAGTAAATAGTGAAATACTTGGTAAAAGTTTGTGGAGAAAAAGACAAGGGAAAAAGGGTTAAGTTTATATAAAAAAGCATCCGTCAAAGATTAAGGAGTGTAATGATGGAAAGTCTATAATAAAGGCAACTATCACTTAGTGAATAGTGGAGTTGAAGAAGCCTTGAAAAAAAAAAAGAAGCTGCAGAATTGCAGAGCTAATAAGAAGGTGACACGTATGCAGTGCATTAAATAGAAAAGACAACTGAAGCGTCAGTACTGTCATAGCATTGATTATGGCAAAAATTCCCTTTTTAATGAAGATCCACTTCCCAAATATTTAATTGATAAATAAATGAAAAGTGGGGGGACTATCTGTATTGGGAAAAAACTGAATTTATATAAGATAACGTGACATGACACGTGGACCGGTCAAATAGTCAAAGCGTGGTCATCAGTTAGAAGGCACGAGCAACAACAGATGCGGGAGAGAAGATACTTAAAGGCACGAGCTATTATTCAAATGAAATGAGACTCGTACCTGTTCGAGTCGTTTAAAGCTCGAAGATCGGAAGGAATTGAAGAAATGAATCTGATAGTGTAAAGGAGTCCAAATTCAGCATTAAATGCCAAATACGTTGAGAGAATTTGTATTTAATAGGAATGATTGAGTAACGTTTCTTTTAATGTCATTTATTGCTCATAATTGCCTCATTAAGACAATGGCATTACACTTTCTCCTAGAATTAACTATAAAAGGGGAAGGTCTCAACATCTGCAGGACACGAAATATCATTGAGATTATACTGAAATATATACTTATTCATTGCTTTATTGTTGTTCTCAAAGTCTCTCATTTCTTGATTATCAGTAACCCGATTTCTCTCTTAATTTCTAGCTTTAACCAAATATTCAGTTTTTTGGTTAAACAACCCCCCCCCCCCCCAATTTTTTGTAATAGTTCGAGTATAAACATAAACCCGCTTCAAGTAGATAACTTAACTAATGCTAGGATGCTTTCCTTTAAGGAGGATGTAATCAGCGTTGTACTCCTGTAACCTCTTTCACCAGAGGCGGATCCAGGATTTTAAGTTTATGGGTTCCTGCCGCAATCTCAAAATAATATACAATAATAACTGGGTTCACAAATAGATATTTAATGTAATTTTTAACAAAAATACTGGGTCTATGCAAAAGTAGCTAGGTTTCCGGGAACCCATATATTATACTCTAGATCCGCCCCTGTCTTTTACTACTTAATATATATATGTAATCTTTATAACCAAAAAAAAAATTTATATAGTCATGTCGCTTAGAGTTCTAACTTTTGAAATATTCCAAAAGTCCCAAGACATTTTTCTCTGAGTCTCTACTAATCATTTTTCACTTCAATATTATAAAGGCCAAATGACCTCGTGGCCACTTAAACTTGTATCCGTTTGTAAAATCGATACATAAACTTATATTATTCTCATTTGAACACTCAACTTGACGAAATGAATACTAATAAACACATTTGACCGTTGACCATACCTCAGTAGAAGTGGCATGGCTGACATGGCTAAATTGTGTGCAAATCACGCTGCCAAGACGCGTGAATAGTTTTGTTTTTACTAAAAAAAATATTAGAATCAGAATAAAACATAAATGAGAAAGAAAAAAGAAAAAAAAAGAGGATCTTTCCCGGCCTCTCTCTTCCCTTTACCCCTCCCCTCCCACCTCTCTCATCTTCCCTAGCAAACTCCCACCCCCCTTCTGTAAAAAAAAAATTTCATTTCTATCCTACTTTCCCTCCCCTCCCCCTTCCCGTTCCTTTTTCCCTTCCTCTTCCCCCTTCAATAATCTTTTCATTTATTTATTAGCTTCCACCCAATTTTCTCGTCCCATCCTCCCCCAATTCCACTATAACCAGCACCTTCACGCATTATTCGTTGCCATTAGCCCCCTCCCCCCCTCCCCTTCTTCTTTTCCATTTCTCTTCTTTCTTCCATAGTACAGTTAGTTAGTAGATTGCAGCTGATAGATTACAAATGTGAATTGAGGAAAAATTAGGTTGCTTTGATATATAGAAGAAGAAGAAGAAAATGAAGTGTAATTTTTGTCTTCAAGAAAATTCGCCTATGGCATTTAGTGAAAATACTTTTAAAATAAATATTTCTTAGTCTTTTTGGTTGATGTAGGTTGGTGGAACAATAATAAATTTTTACTGGGAAAAGGTAGGTGAGGAAGGGGGGGGGGTGATTCAGTTGTAGCTGATTATGGGAGGAAGAAGATGATAGTGGTTAAAAATGGCTGAGGCTTGGTGTTGTTGGTGGGGAAAAAGAGTAAGAAAAAGAAATTAAAATTTTAAAGACTAATTTTTTTTTAAAATGTAGGACACACAAATTCACATGTCATATAATAAAGACCAAACATGTGACATGGCATTCCTGTTAGAGAGATTGGCAAACACATTCGAAAGAAAGTGTTTATTAGTACTCATTTCGTCATCTTGGAGTGTTCAAATGGGAAAAGTGTAAGTTCATGTATCGGGTTTGCAAACTGATACAAGTTTAAGTGGCTAGGAGGCCATTTGGCCTATTATAAACTACACAATACATTTTCTAATGATCCATCTGTTTCAATTTAGATGACACATTTTCCTTATTAATCCGTTCAAAAAAGTATGACACATTTATACAATTGAAAATAATTCAACTTTAAACTCTTAATTTTATCCATTTTACCCGTAATGAGAAGCTTTTATAACCACACAAATGTCATGGCCCTACAAAGCTTTTACCCCTTAAGCTTTTAAGACCACAAGCTTTAAAAGTCTTTTTTTTTCTTAAACTCTGCGCCGAGTCAAACTAGCTTATCTAAATTGAAACGAATGGTGTAATTGATTAAGTTCTTTCCTTTAGTTACTAATGCCATCAAAATCATTAGACCCTTAAGGTAAAACACGAGCAAAATTTTGGTATATAGGAAAAATGGTAGCTCGGTACACAAAGTATCCCGCATTCACGCAGGATTCGTATCACGATACGGAATTCCCACCTTCGGGATCGTGATGACGCCTAACATTTTACTTGCTAGGCAAGCCAACGTTAGATTAGTTTTAAGCCATTTTTAAATAATCAAATTAACTGTCATGACCCAAAATCCGCATATCGTGATGGCGCCTATCTCAATACGAGGCAAGACGACAATCTGAATAAACCATAATTTCTTTTAAGTTTGAAAAACATAATAATTAGATTTAACATAAAAAAATCCCACAATTTCTGATACAAAATACTGTCTTTATACAATACACTCCCAAAATTCGGTGTCACTGAGTACATGAGCATCTAAATGATAACATGGTCTGACTGATGAAACATTGTCTGAAAATATAGAACAACACAAATAACTGAAAGGAAAGAGAGTCAAGGTCTGCGAACGCCAAGCAGCTATCTCGATAGTCTCCAACAAATAGATCTTCGAAATCTAGCAGCCGCCGTATCTGGAAGTACCTGGATCTGCACACGAAGTGTAGAGTTTAGGATGAGTACAATCGACCCCATATACTCAATAAGTAACAAGACTAACCTTTGGGCTGAAAGTAGTGACGAGCTCAGCAGGTACAGTCCAGTATAGAAATAGCAGTACAGAAATGTGGGCATGCTTTCAAGTTCAACAATTAAACCCAGTACGAGTAAAATAGATCAATCCTGAATGATATGAGGAATATTGCATCTCTATATCTATATGCCAAT